TCATAGACTTTGATAAGATAGACTGCCAGTGATTTGTAACTGCATCTCCCTAAGTTGTTTGGCGTATGCAGGTAGCTCTTGTTTAGCAACCAGAATTGGGACCAGCAACTCAGTTGTTAAGCGAAGCAGTCGCTAAGTGAAACTGTGACTATGCTTATGATCTTACTTCAGCTTTCCTTTGCTTTACAGACCTGCGAAGGTCATAAATGCACGGCTTGGTAGCAAAGTTCCTTTTTCATCACCGTCTAAACTGTGAATGGTCACTAAATGAGGCAGTCACTAAATGAGGACTACCTATATAAAGAACAAGAGAGGAGAAGTTAATTTATTATTTTCTATGTTGCAAACTATCGTAAAGCTTTTATGACAGCTTCCGGGATTTAAAAAAATGTCCTCAAAACAGGAATAAAAAAAAGACGTGATGTTGTGTGAAAAGAATTCAAATTTAAGGTAAAAATAACTTAAAGTTCTTGGAATATTTTAAAAAATCATAGTTGGATGATAGCTTTACCCAACCCCCAAAAAGGAGTGTGTCATTGAACCAGCATGGTTATCATTGCTTTTTATGGGGAAATACATGTTTTTCGCCTGATGCTGAAAGACAAAAGGGAGACACCAAGGAGGTGAGCCTTCCTGGGAAAGGCCCTTATACTTGTACGCACAGCATTTCACCTGACCAAGAATGGAAAGAGCTCGCAGCCCTCTTTGTATTGGGCTTGGTTTTACAGTACCGTCTCTTACTCTTTTACTCTTCTGCCACTATAAGCTCAGAACAGAAAAAGAGATTTAAAAAATCACTCCTGAGTAGGATGGCATACCAAAGAATCTGGGTTTTTTTCTTTCACATGTACATACAAAAGAGAGGATGAAAAAATATGTAGCCAACAAAGTGATGAGTTAACCAGATACCTGCAATGAGAGGCAAAGCTGCTTAGTTCAGCTCTTTAATGGAACAAGAGTCTGGGGCTGGGGAGGGGAGGGCTCATGGACTCTTTGAAGCAAAGCTCAACAAATCTGAAAGTTCTTTGCCATCCCTTCCCTTCTTCTCAGCCCCACTGAAACTCCTGTTCCTCAAGTCTGAATAACAGACCATTTTGCAGCTTTCCATATACGCCTTTCTTACAATTTTCAGTTCGTTGCTGCACAGCCCACAGTGCCTTCCATCTTGACTCTCACCCTTGAACTGCTTAACACTCACATCTCAGATCTCTTCATCTGGAAGCTGGGAGGAAGAGTTAATCACACTGAACCATCCCTCCCAGATTGAGACAACACAGACCTACTGCTGAGGTAAGTAAACCTACAACAAATTAGTGCCTTGAACAAAGTTTGATCCATGGTCTGACTGGATAACCTGCCCATCTGATAGCCAGTTGCCTTACCATGTCATGCAAACTCAGTCCAACAACTGAGGTCCACATTTCCTTATTTTCCTTACTGTCTTTCCTTTCATACAATCTCATTTAGATGGTAAACTGGCAGATAAACTTATGCAAGCTGTTCTGAAAGCCTTTTCTGATTGAAGAGGGTCAAAAGTACCTCAAAATCCTTAAATGAATCGGTGAAAAGAGTCCCATTGAGGAGCAGTAAGAAAGTTGTTTTAAAAAAACCTCAACTCAATTTCCCTATTTCTATTATTTCATAACAAATTTTATCTTTAATATGTTAATTTACTTCTAAGTAAAATCATTTACACTGTTTTTCATTCTGATGATCAGGCTTCATGTCTCTTTCTCACAAGGTATGTTTTGGAGGCTTTCTGTGCCTCAAACTAGGGTTTTCCTTATGACCCTAGCTTGAGTAGGTGACAAGGTACAAACAGGGTTTCAGGGGATCTGACTGAAAAAGGCAGGGCCACATAGGTATCTGGTTCCCCTCCCCCCACGTTTTAGTCACTGAGAGGCAGGAGGGAGCCAAGCTTTATCAAAACAAACAAGTAGTTCCACTCTCCCAATCCCAAGCACCGCTAATTGTTTTGCATTTTTTTGCTAATGATTCTCTCCTTCCAACTGACAGCCTGACACAGCCTGTTACAAAAGTATCAAATGAGCATTTTTTTCTCTGATCTCTAACTTCTAGTTCAAAGCCATTTGAAACACAAACCGCTGAGAAATTATAATAGGTATTTAAAGTAAGTGTATCTGTACTATTTTTTTTTTTGGAAAAGCCTACTTCCATCTACGTTACTCTTCTCCCCCAGCTGAACTTCACCCCAGATGTCCTCTCGTTCTGTCTGCCGCCTTCCCCTTCCACTCTGTCCAAATTTTAATTTAGCCTTCTCTAACTCGATGCCCCCCATAGGTATGGAGCTACAAGTCCTATTTTGTCCCAGGCAGCACGGCCAACTGCGAAGGGTAACCGGAGTTGTCACAAAGA